CTCCCCAGCTCCTGACAACTATGAATCCCCTTCGTCTGTGGATTCGCCTGTTCTGGACATTTCACATAAATGGAATCACACTGTACGGCTTTGTTTATCTGGCTTCTCTCACTGAACATCATGTTTTCACGTTGTAGCAAGTGTCAGTGCTTCACTCCTTTTTACAATTATAGTTGACATTCAATACAATTTTATATTTCAGGTGGACAGTATAGGGTTAGACTTTCATAGAATTTACGAAGTGATTCCCCCCCCCCCGTAAGTCTAGTCCCCATCAATGACACCATTCATAGTTATTACAAGTGCTTCAGTCCTTTTCATGGCTGAGTAATATTCTAGTGTCTGAATGGACACATTGTGTTTGTCCATGCATCTGTGGATGGATTCTTTTTAAATTTCTACAACTTTATTGACATATGTTTGACATACGAAAATGCACATATTTAAAACATACAGATTGGTATTTGGACATGTATGTATCCGTGAAACCATCACCACCGCTGATATGATGAACACCTTCCCTGCCCCTTTCCCAGCTCCAGCCACTATTTGTCTGCTTTCTGCTATTAATTAGTCTGCATTTTCTAGACTTTTTAATAAAGGGAGTCAGATAGTATGTTCTCTTTGGTGTCTGGCCCCTTCCACAGAACATAAGTATTCTGAGAGTCACCCAGTTGTTGCATCTGTCAGTGGTTTGTTCCTTCTGCTGAGTTGTATTCTGTGCTGTGCGTAGATCTGTGTTTTCACTCACCTGGTGAAGGACATGCTGGTGGTTTCCAGGTTTTTTTCTATTACAAATGAATCTTCAATGGACGATCATGTCCAAGTAGAACATGTGTCTTGGTTTCTTTTGGGTGGATGCCTGGGAGTGGAGGGATTGGTGCACAGGGAAGCATATATGTAACTGTTAAACTGCCAAACTGTAAAAAATTGATATATAATTGATAAATGACATTACACTAGCTTCAGGTGTGCCACCGTTTTCTAGAGTAGCTATAGTCATCCACCAATCACATGCGAGTCCTGTGGTATTTGCATGTTTTACCATTTTATTAAAAAATTATTTAAAAATTATTTTTTTAATAAATATACAGAGAGGAAGGGAGAGGGATAGAGAGAGAGAAACATCGATCAGCTGCCCCCTGCACATTCCCCACTGGGGATGTGCCCGCAACCAAGGTACATGCCCCTGACCGGAAACGAACCTGGGACCCATGAGTCCACAGGCCGACGCTCTATCCACTGAGCCAAACCAGTCAGGGCTAAAAATTATTTTTAATTGATTTCAGAGAGAGAGAACCATCAACCAGCTGCCTCCTGCACACCACCTACTGGGGATCAAGCCCAAAACCTGGGCACGTGCACTGACCAGGAATTGAATGGGTAACCTCCTGGTGCATGGGATGACGCTCAACCAGCTAAACCACACCAGTCGGGCTGTTCTACCATTTTAAAAAGGACACACTTTATTCGTTTCCCATGGCTGCCTTAACAACTGACCACTCCACTCACCAGCTGGCTTGAAACAACAGGATTTAACCTCTTCCAGTTCTGGGGCCAGAAGTCCGGGATCAAGGTGTCACAGGGCTGTGCCATGCTCCCTCTGGAGGCCCCAGAGGAGGGTCCTTTTTGCCTGTCCCAGCTACTGGGGATTACAGTGTCTCTGGCTTGTGGCCACATCAGTGCAGTCTCTGTTTCCTTGGTTCTGTGGCTTTTCTCTCTCTCTCTCTCTCTCTCTCTCTCTCTCGCTCTCGCTCTTGTGTCTGTGTGTCTCCTGTTCTCTTATAGGGATAGTCATTGATTTGGGACTCACCTTGATAATATAAAATGACCTTATCTCAGATCCTTTCCTTGATTACATATGCAAAGCCTGTTTTCAAATGCACTAAGTCCTCACTTGATTGCACTTCACAGATGTTGTGTATTTTGTTTGACCAGGGAACTCCCCAAATTATTCATCATTCTTTTTTTCTTCTGCTTTTCTTAATATTTATGTTGAATTTACTCCTGGGTCCAAAGTTTTAATTTCCTCATTTCCTCTGGGAAATCATCTCCATTTTCCAGGAATCATTCATTCACAGAGCATACCAGCATTGCCTATCTGAAACCCCAGAGTTCTCGTGCATTAGGTGTCCACAGGACTCTCTTCCTTTCTCAGTGGTGCTCACATCATCTCATGTCTTCTTGATCTCTGGGCAGGCTCTGCGGGGCTGCAGAGGCTCCTGCACCTCAGAAGGGCATGTAGCCACCAGACTGGGCATTTTTTACAAATTGAAGGCAAGACCCTCCACCAGAAAAATGGTTATAGCTTGCTTCCTTGCGGTGGTCTGGAACTGAACCCACCATATTTCCAAGGTCTGCCTGTAAGGCCCTGCTCGTGTGCTACCATCAGCTGCTGCAGCACAGTATGACCTCTGAGGACACCCACCCTCGAGTGGGATGGCTCTCCCTATCTTAGCCCCTAGAGTGCCGGGGGCGCTATCAAAGCTTCGAAGTGACGTCCAGTTCTAAGTCTGCTTTTATTAGTGATGATGATATTGCTAAATATGTCAATGTAGTAAAGCAGTGATGGCGAGCCTATGACACGCGTGTCAGAGGTGACACGCGAACTCATTTTTTTGGTTGGTTTTTCTTTGTTAAATGGCTCTGAGGATACTGGTTGGCACTCAAAGGGTTAGTCTGGCACCTCCCTGGCCGAGAGTGATGGGACCAGGCTGCGACCAGGCTGCTCTGGAGGCCAGGCCCAGCGGGTTCTCATCAGGCCCGGCCGCTGGCTGCCCCGTGAACTGGAAGGGCTGCCAGATGAAGGTGTGCAGCAGGCATCTAGTGAACCGCACCGACATCACTCTGTTTCCCTGTACCCCAGCCCCTGCCCACAGGATTTCTCTGAGCTAAGCAGACTCTCCTTCCAGAAATTTCCATGGAGCCAACCTTTGCTGGGACCGAGAAGGAACGCCTCACTTGGTGAGGATTTAGGCACCTTTAAGATGTATTTTTTAAAAAATGTTTTTATTGATTTCAGAGAGAGGGAGAGGGAGATAGAAACATCAATGAGAACCATCTATCAGCTGCCTCCTGCATGCCCCCTGCTGGGGACTGAGCCCACAGCCGAGGCATGTGACCTGAACAGAAATGGTGCCCTGACCTCCTGGTTCATGGGTTGACACCCAATCATTGAGCGACACCAGCTGGGCTAAGATGTATTTTTAAATACCTTTGTTGAAATATAATTCACATACCGTGCCATTCATCCATTTAATGCACACAATTCCATGGGTTTGGGTGTATTGCTTTATTTATTTAAAAAATCAATAGGCAGTGAGTACCCCGGCCGGGTTGCTCAGTGGTTAGGGTGCCAGCCTGCAGACCAAAGGGTTGAGGGTTAGATTCCTGGACAAGAGCACATACCTTGGTTGCAGGTTCCCACTTTCCTGCCCGCCCCCCCTTCACTGCTTAAGCACACAGCTGCTGAGAAATTGGGAGACAGCTGCGCATTGTCATGTCACATTTATTGCTACAGTGCTGTTATGTACAGGACAGGTCTCCATATTGACTTTAAAGGGGGTCATTTAAAACTTCCAAAGAATCCAGCCAGCTGTGTGGACACTTGTATAAAATTATTTTTCTTTAAAAAAACTTTAAACAAAAACCAAAGTTATTTTGAGGCACTCAGAGCACAATCCCCCGTAACTGGTTTTGCCCTCCCCCAGTGCTACTTCTTCCCCTACTGGGTTCATCTCATTTTACATAATTTAAATTCTACACGTAAGCCACAGCTCCAAAGTCTGCAGACTTCCAGGGGACCAGGGCCCTCAGCTCCTGCCTGACTGGATCAAGGGGCAAGACCAAAAGCAGAATAAGAGGGAAACCGAGGCAGGTTCCCCAAAAGACAGGAACCAACAGACCAGGGGAGTCACCAGGCAGAGTCCACCCCCGCCCCGCACGCTGATGGCTCTTTGCTCTCCTGATGGGCTCCAGGGGAGGACCTAGGTGATGTCAGGGGTCAGGAGGTGGCCCCAACCTCAAGCCCGATGTCCTGCCTGGTGCTGGCCATGGGATTCCCTGGAGCTTCCTGCAGAGCACTCTGCTCCCAGCCTCGGGGTGTTATAGTTGGGGCGGGAGTCAGGTGGCCTTGGAAGTTGGGGAGTGAGGGGTGGAGTCTTGGGGAGAGAGTGATATTGGTGGGGTGAATGCAGCCAGCCTGGGGGTCCTTAAGGCTTCTTTTTTTGGAGGAGGGGGATAAAGGTAAGGAAACCAAGACCCCAGTAGGCCTGAGTCTACAGTTGGGTGACATGTAGGGTGACTGACCATTCCAGTTTCCCTGGGGAACAGCAGGGGGTCCAGGGATGCAGATGGTCAGTGTAAACATGGGACAGTCCTGGGCAGCGTGGGAATGACATAGTCCTCGTGACATGGAAGACCAGAGGGCACTTGGGGAGACCTGGGACACCAGGCACACAAGCCTGAGGGGCCCCCCTAGTTTTGCAGCTGGATAGTAATTTCAGCAGGTGCATAGCCTTGGGGTTTTTCTGGGCATAAGGACCCTGTACCTTCTCCCTGCTCTGTCCATGCCTGTCTTTGGCCCCTCCACACCAGGACAGCCACTTGGTGGGGTGGGCAAGGGGTGTGAGTTTTCTAGGCTGGCCTCAAGCTACTGCCCCACTCTCAGAGTGCAGAGATGGGCTTGGGTCCCCAGGTCAAAGGAATGAAGGACACGGAGCCTGGAAAGACCCACAGCATCGTGCTCCAACAGTGCAGTCCTCCTGCCCTGGAATGTGGGTAACAAAACTCCCCACTTTGGAGGACTGTGGGCTCCAGGGAAGATGTGGGGAGGTGCCTGGGGTCCAGAGTGACACCTGAAGGAGGACCTTTGGTATTTTCACCTGGGAGGGTAGCGCCTCCAGTGTCTCTCTCCTGGAGGGAGACAGGGTGGGGTGTGGAGGTCTCCATCAGGGAAAGGCCCACTTTACTCCAAAGCAAGAAAGCAAAACCCAAACATCTAAAGAAATGAGACCCACCTATACCTGCTCTCCCTGTGGCCCATGGCTGGGCTCCCGGGACGGGAGGGGGACCTTAGGTTTACAGTGGGGGTCTTTTAAATATAACTTTTAATCTGGTTGATCGTGAAATGTAATGCTCAGTTCTAGAAACAGCAGCAGAAATACAAGAGACACGAAACTTTTATACAAAACATTTGTTGCTTACAAAACATATGCAAAAAAAAAACCAAAGGCATCCTCCTTGCTAATTTTCTTCTACATTAAAAAAAAAATTTCATAACTAGCGTTTTTATTTTCCTTAAAAAAAAAAAACCAGGCATAGGCACAAGTTGCTGGTGGCTTCTGAAGAACAAGCCAGTTTCACAGCGTCTCTCTCCAACGAGTGATATGTTATAACTTCTCCATGTTTTATACTTAAGGCATTTTTTTTTTCTGATGAAGTGTATATTTCTTGTTTGTGTTCCAGTTTTTACCAAAAAAGAAAAAAAGAAAGCTCCTTCCAGCCAGGGCTTGTGTAGCAAGGCTGAGATGCAATTTCAGGATCCATCAGGCAAGTCCCAGCATGTGGGGATAGCTGAGGCCTGGGGGTGGGGACAGCAGGGTCCCCAGGAGGCTCCTGGACCCCACTGTCACCTCTAGGGCCTCCATCACTTGAAGCCTCCTTAGGCTGGTGTTGGCTCAACGCTGACCACAGGTGTATGTGAGGTGTGGACTGGCCAGCCCACGTTGAGGATGGACCCGGCACGCTGTGTGACCATTCCAGGTTAGACTGAGGTCAGGTCACTATCCCACGGAGGCGTACCTTTCACATATGCCCAGCAGGGTTGTGGGCCTCACTCAGGCCCGGGTGGGCTGCTGAAAGCACCATCTGGGGGTCTCCAACCACGCCTGACACCTTCTCCTCTTCTCGTCGCTTCAAGCACGCTGCTTTGGGGTTGAGGTTACGTTCTGGTGGTAGAGGGAGAGCACTGTGGGAGATGATCCCCAGAGAGGGAGAACATGAGGTGGCAGGGGTGTGGGGAGCCTGGCAGAGCGCCAGAGGGAGAGGCAAAGGCCCTCACATATGTGGCTGCCTCCATTTCTTGACTTGTCCTCCCATTCCCTGAGAAGGCCGTACAGGGCTGGGGCGTTGTAAATTATAAAGAACAGGTTGGGTGTTCTGGGGCACATCAGAGCCTGAGATGTGGACGGAGCCCAGGAGCTAGTGCACACCTGGCTCTAGTGAAGCACCATTGGCATGCAGGTGGGAAGGGGATAGGGTGGGGACTCCTAGCCTGGGCGCCTACCTCGCACCTGCTGCTCCAGGCCCAGGATGACCTGCACGGCCTGCTGCAGGATGAGCAGTTTGGTCTGCGCCTTGTCCGACTTGAGGTGCATCTGGCACATGCGCCCCAGCTCCCGGAAGGCCTCGTTAATGTCCCGCACGCGCACCCGCTCCCGCGCGTTATTGGCCATACGCCTCTCCCGGTCCCTCAGGTCTTTCTCTTCCAGGGACAGCACCTCCTCCGTACTGCTGGGTCACAGCACCAGGGCCTCTGTTAGTTATGTGCGGGGGCAGGGGTTGGCTGAACAGTAGGCAGGTGGGTGAGCAGGGCCAGGTTGTGGAGAGGGCACCCATTGGCTCTGTGTTTGTGTGTGTGTGTGGGGGGGTGTGTACACAGCAGTGCAAGGGCAGGTCTGTGGACACCATAGGGTAAGTGGGTGTGCCTGGTGTGTGCATGCTCATGTCCATGAAAGTGTGTTCCTGGACTGGGAACCATAAGCAGTGTGCCTGTGACCAGTTCCAGGCAAGGCTATGTGTGTGGTCATGTTCAAGAGACATGGCCAAAGCCCAGCTGTCCCCAGGAGGCTCCATGGGAATGGATGTGGGCCTTGATTTCCTTCTATCGCTTGCCCATCCCACATACCCCAGGATAGGCCAGGTGCCCTCCTGGGATGACGACCTTCCCCATTCAGAGCAGTCACCTCCTGGGTGAGGGAGGGCTGGTTCTGCCTGGCTTGACAAGCCGGGTGGGAGGGGATCAGGAGACTGCTACAGTAGGCAAAGGCCTGGGGAGACCTCTAGGACTGGGGAATGGTTCAGGACACTCAGTCCCACAAGGAGCCAACCAGTTCACACCCTCTAAGACCCCCACACTAGACTCTGGCTGCCCTGACAGCTAGCCCTGGAGTGCCCACCATGAACCCTGCCCATAGGTCCGACTCTGGGTGGAAGAGTTAGCTCCCTGGGCCTGGGGCCTCCGCTCTTAGGGCCTCAGGGTGGCTCCAATTTATGGAGCACTGTGTGTGCCAGGCACCGAGTTGAGCCCATTGCCCACATAAGAATCTAGAATGGAAGCATAGACACCTGCCCACCCCGAGGAGCTGGTGGCCATGTGGCTTTGCTAAGTGACCTCACTCTGTGCCTGTATCTTTCTGGGTAGGACTGGGGCTAACTGAGATCAGGACACCTGCCACACTCAGCTGAAGACACATGAAGGCCCGGCACATGGTGTGTGCCCGAGATGCGGGAACCTGGACCTCCGGTGCCCTGTCCTGCTCCTGTGCTGGGGGGCTGTTGCCCTCACCCTGCCTGCTGGCCCCGGAGCCCAGGACAAGCGCGCAGACCAAACTGACAGCCAGGCCCAGAGGCTGGTGCTCCTCGGTCCCCTTTCATCCCTCAAGTCTCCACAGGTGGCTTTGAGGGAAGAAAGGGCCTGAGGTTGCTACTAGCCATCCGGTGCTTGGGCAGCAAGTGCGAGGTAAGGAGGGGCTGCCGGTGGAAGCAGAGACGGACAGGCTGGGTGGGGGAAGAGCGCAGAAGTCAGAGAGCAGAGAAGAGGATGCAGGGGACACACACGGCATGATGCCCACACCAAGTGCAGATGCGGAAACCTGAGAGCTGAGGGGACAGTGCAGGGTGGGCCAGAGCCCCAGCTCCAGTACAAGCGACAGTGCTGCAGGAGAAAAAGGGTTAATGGGTGCGCAGGACGGGGAGGAGTTAAGGAAGCAGCTGGTGGGAGTGGGGATTCACCTGGGGTGGGGTGGGAGGGGGGATGGGACAGGGCGATTTCCAGATCCTCACCCAGCCCTGGGAAAGGGGGTTAAACCCCACCTGCAGATGGGGTTTGATGGGGTCCTACGAGGTGTCTGCTCAGAGTGACAGTGACAGCCTCTGGGCCCAATGGGACCACAGGCCATTGCTGGCCAGGCTCTGGGGCTTTCCTGAGGTGGAAGGGCAGGGGTCCCTAGAGCCAGAGTGCCAAGGTCCATAGGATTAGGGGTCCAGAGTCTCATCCTCCCATTCCAGAGGGGACACTGGGGCCAGGCAGAAGGCAGCTGGTTCAGGGTGGGAGGACGGTCACTGGGGCGCGGGGGGGTGTGAGACAGTGACTTGGAAGAGGATGATCACTGCAGGGGGCAGTCACTGCGGAGAGGCGGGCTCTAGGAGGGGGGAGGAGAGAGCGCGGGCAGAGGCGACGGGAGGGGAGCGGTGCCCCCACTGACCTCGCACCTGCTGCTCCAGATTCAGGATGACTGACACGGCCTGGTGCAGGATGAGCAGTTTGGTCTGGGGCTTCTCACTGTTGAGGTGCAGCTGGCACATGCGCCCCAGCTCCTTAAAGGCCTCATTGATGTCTCGGACCCGCAGCCGCTCTCGTGCGTTATTGGCCACCCGGCGCTCCTTCTCCCGCTCAGCCTTCTGCTCTGGGGGGAGAAGGTCGTCCTCGTCCTCCTCCGGGCTACGGGGGTGGGGGAGGCCGGGGGGCCAGAGGGAGACAGTGAGACGGGGAACAGGCGCAGGGCCCGCCGGATGCCTCGCGGTGTGAACGCCACTGGTGTGAGCACTGTGTGCGTATGCTTGAGTCCTGATAGGTGGGGTAGGGACCGAGGAGGGGCTGGCACCTGGTCCGGATCCTCGGGGCCTTCAGCTCCTTCTTCTCCTCCTCTGAGTTGTCAGCCACCGACACATTCTCCTCATCCTCCTTCTCCTCCCGCTTGATCTCACTGGTACCTGAGGCGGTGCCCCTGTGACCAAGTCCTGCAAGAGGCTGAGGGTTAGGGTACTGCCACCTCCAGGGCCACTTGGCAAGTCCTCTTATGAGGGGTGAGAGCTCTCCTGGCCTTCATTTGCAAAGTGGGGGACAAACCATCTACCTTTCACCACTACAGGCACCTAATTACAGACAAAATTAAAGGGAACCTTTAGAAGGAAGGGCATGGGAGTTTTAATGTGGTCTAGGGGCAGAGAAAGAATGTGTAAACACTAAAGCAGCAGTGGCCAACTGGTGGTCCGCGGACCACTGGTGGTCCATGAGGTCTGAAAGGTTGGCGACCGCTGCACTGAAGAACTGTTTCCAAAAGAAATCAATAAATTTGACTGTTGTACGATAATTGAGAATTTCAGATCACTAGGATATCTAAGAAAATAAGATATTTTATGATATCTTGATAAAAATACTTGTCACGTATAAATCAGCAAAGGCTAGATCTCCACAATATATAACGGACTCCTACAAATCAATAGGAAAAGAACATTCCTCAACAGAGAAACAGGCAAAGCATGGAGCAGGTGTTTCACAGACACAGAAACGGATGTGGCTATATAGAAACCTGCATTATCACATCAAGAAGTTAAGAAATTTCGAATGAGGCCCTGGTTGGGTAGTTCAGTTGGTTAGAATGTCGTCCTGATGTGCCAAGGCTTTTGGGTTCAATCCCCAGTCAGGGAACATACAAAAATCAACCAATTAATAGTGGAACAACAAATCAGTATTCTTCCATCTCCTCTCCCCACCCCCAGAACATCAATAATAAAAAAAAATTTTGAGGACTATGAGCTACATATCACACACACTAAGCAGAATAGAGACCTGACAATTCTAAGTACTGCTTCTGACAGCATATTGGTACAGCCACTTTGGAAAACAATTGGGCATTGTCTGGAATAGGTGGACAGACATGTGCATACCCAGAAATTCCACACTTGGAACCACACCTGAGAAGTTCTTGCACATGTGCACCAGGAGACATGTTCCAGAAAGCACCTGATGGAAGCAGAGTGGGAAGTGACCTATCGTCCTAGGTCGGCCTGGGCCCATCCTTAGTCACTTGCAGGATGGCAACCTCACAGACAGCACGAGCAAGCAAGCAGATGCAAAGGAACATTGGCAGGATGCTGATTTTTGAAAGTTCAAAAACCATGTAAACAAAATATATGGTTTCTGGGAAAACAGTTACACTGAACTTAACTACACTGAGGTGCAAATGGCAAAATGCCGACCATAGGAAATAGCTCAGAGTTCAATGGATGAGCCAAGGGGAAGGGGAAAGAATCTGCGCATAAAAGCCTAGGGTTTCCCCTCAGCACTGTGGACACTGAGGCTGGGTCATTTTCTGTGGGGCAGTCCTGGGCATTGTGGGGTAGTGAGCAGTATCCTTGGCCCCCATCCACTCAATGCAAGGGAGCACCCCCCAGCCCTGAGAACCACAGATGTTCCAACGTTGCCAGGTGCCTCCTGGTGAAACTGGGTGTGGAGTGACAACGTTAAACATGAGAGCATTGACTTTTTCTCTAAAAGCCAGGCTGGCTTTGGGGGTGGGACTGGATGGGGAGGGTCCCCAGGTGGGTATGAGAGACCCTGCTTTTTATAATTTGGGTTGCATGGTGGTTCCCAGGGTGCTTAGTATGTTAGGCAGTCTTGTCACATACCAACATCACACTAGTGTCACATGACGTTTATTTTTCATTAGGTTGATATAAGGGTGGGGTAGGTGGAAATCAGGGATTGGCCACTGCCTGGTGGGGGATCCCTGGACCTTCACTGGGCCTCGCTACAGCAGCACCAGCATCAACTGATCCTGGAACTGGCCATAATGAGACCCAGGCCCCTGATCTCTGGTGGGTGCTTTTGAGTCCTGTCACATTCCTGCCTTCTCCTCTGTGAAGACCTCCTACCAAATGGACACCTGTCCTGCTTACCAAGGGCCTCCCCTTACTGACCCCAGTACCTTCGAACACATTACCTATTCAGTCTTGAAAAAAACCCTCTAGACCTCGCCCCCTCCCACTCCTGTCCCTGGACAGTGACGCCCCAGCATTCCACTGGTGCTGCCCCTGCCCAGGTCACTGACCCCGTTAGTGTAGTCCGAGTCCTCACTCTGGTGTCTGACACAGTCTGCCCTCCTTCACTTCTCTCAGCTGCCTGTCCCCACCTGGCCGGGCTCTGCTTTGTCTACACACTGCCTAGCGCCCCATCTAGGCTCTTGCCTTTGAACTCCATCATATGCGACGACACCCAGGCCTCACTCTAAACTCCAGACCCAACTTTCATCATCACCTCCACATCAGCAAGTCCTGTGGACTCTGCCTTCAGAATACCCAAAATCCACCCACTTCGCCCTGGCCAAGCCCAGCACCTGCCCCCGCTATTCCTCCTGGACCATCACAACTCTCCTCCCTGGTCCCTGGCTCCCACTGTGGTCCCTGTAGTCTGTCCTCCCAGCAGCAGCCACCAAAGGGCACCAATGAGCATCTGAGTGAGATCCTGCCTTAGCCTTTCCCCAGCCTGTCCTCCCCAAAGCCACCAAAGGGTATCCCAGTCTGGTCCTGTCCCTCCTCTGCTCAGAGCCCTCCAGGGATCTGATCTCCCTCAGAATAAAAGCCCAACACTTCTGTGTGGCCTAAGGTCCCACATGATCTTCCCTGTCCCCTCTCTGCTCTAGGCCTCCCCTGCTTTTGCTCCTCCCTGATTCTGCTCATATGTCACAACCCTGCTACCCCTATTATCTTTAAAACTACAATCCAGCCCTGACTGGTGTGGCTCAGTTGGTTTGACATCGTCCCACGCACCAAAAGATTGCTGGTTCAATTCCACGTCAAGAGCACATGCCCAGGTTTCAGGCTCAATCCCCGGTGGTGGGAATGCAGGGGGCAGCTGATCAGTGATTGGCTCTCATGTCAATGTGTCTCTCTCTCCCTCTAAAAATCAATAAAAAATATTAAAACAAAATTAAAAAACCTACAACCACCTGCATCCCCTCCCCATTTTCTGATACTCATCTGTGTCCTCCTCCCAGGGTTGTGGAGGGGTGGGGGTGGCTTTCTCTGTTGGATTTGCTGTTTTATTCCCCAGAGCCTAGAGGAACACCAGACACTTGGCACTGAATATGTGCCTGTTGGGTGAGCTCAGTTCACTACACTGTGAGTCAATAAAAAGGCAGGGGCCCTGGTGGCTACAGCATCGCCCGTGCCAATGCCAAGACTACTGGGCTCCACCTTGCTTCTGGAAGATGGGCGGTGACTGTCCCCCTTTCTAGGGCTCCAGGTGCCTGACAGTAACCACACCTGCCTGGCCTCCACTCATAAAACTTTCCCAGTTCCCACTGTGCCTCAGTTTCCTCAACTGGAAATGGAGGCGGGATAGTCCCAAGCCCAGCAGAGAATAAACACTCAGCCCGGCCTGGCTGCTGCAGTCTGTCACAAACCCTCTCTGCCACCCGTTTTCCAGAGGAAGTGATGCTCAGTGACTGAGCATCATAGAAGGAGCCAGAGCACAGATGGCTCTGAGGTGCTGGCTGCCCTGCCCAGGCACGATGCTGGGACTTACCACTGTAGGAGTCAGGTGGCCGAGAGAGGTCGGGGAGGGTGCTGGGCTGGTTGGGGAGGGCCACATGGTTGTGCATGAGGCTGCCACTGCCCGAGAGGCCATCCTCAGAATGGCTGCCTCCAACCTGTAGACCAGGAGTGGGTGAGTCAGGGTTGGCCAGGCTCCCACCAACTGCCCACCTCGCCCCTCCCTGTCCAGCACTTACCAAGCTGGTGTGCCGCCCACCCAGTGGCATGATAGGGCCGGCAAAGCCTGAGGCCAGTGTTCCATGGCTGGGTAGTAACCCGTGCACGTCACCCGAGGTACCCACGGCGTGGCTACGGAGCACGTGGATGGCCTCATCCAGGTGGTCTTCCATCTTGTTCTGCTGTGAGGGTGGGGGGTGAGTGACCTGGCTGCCAGTACCCCCACCCAGCCCTGTGTGGTCTGGCCTGAAACATGAGCCTGGGCTGGACATGGAGATAATGCTGGACCTTATTCCCAAGATATTAACTACAAAGTTCATTGTTGTCAAAAGGACATCTAGGTCCTAATGCAAATTCTGCTGGTCACATGAGACCCAATGGCTCTATGGAACTCAGTTTCAAAGTCACATGAAACATGGCCACAGCAGACACGCTGAGCTGCCCCCCATGGGCTGCCTCCCCTGCTCCGGGAATAAGCTCTCCACATGCATCCTGTGTTTGTCCACAAACACTTCCATCCCCTTCCCAGGGTGTTCCCACAAAGGCACATCCTCCCCCCAGACAAGCAGGAAGCTCACCAGGCTATGGAGACCTCCATCATAGTTGGGAGATAAGGCACCGGGGGCTCCTGCTCGGGGCCACTGCGACGACCCTGGAAAGGTTAGGAGACACATGAATGGGTGTTGGGGGGACTTGAAGCAGGATGTTGGTGTAGCCTGACCCAGAGAGGGAGGGAGGGAAGAAGGAATTGGGGAGGCAGGGACGGGAAAACTGAGAGATGTGATACTCAGGCTGGCCATACGGGGGCGCCCACTTCTACAGAGCTGTTCTGGGCCATAAATCTAGCCAGGTCCAGACAGATTCACATCTCCCAGCCTCAGTTTCCCCATATGCGGAATCAACAACCCCTCCTCCCCCACAGGGAAGGATGCTGGCTCAGAGGCACACAGTAGGTGCCCTAGAGGCCAGCTCCTGCCAGTCCTGCCACGCCACACAGATCTTTCAGAAATCTGCTCTCACTCCTCCTTGCCCCCCTCCTCCGTCTCCGATGCTCATCAGGTACATCCTTGCAGGGAATGGGGAACAAGAAGACCTGACCCCTTTGGCAGAGGAAGCACGGGGCATACAGTTGGTGCCCAACTAATATCTGTTGGGTGGACAAACACCCAGGTGAGTCTCAGATCGGCTGCTCTGATTCTGGGCGCCCCTGACCTGGCCCAACTGTGTCTCATGTGCCCCTTATGCTCATCAACACAAATCGCGGGTATTGCCTCCTGGCCTTTGCCTGTGCCGTGACCTAAGAATCCTGGCTTAGAAGTTTCCTCCTGGAAGCCTCCCTGGATGCCTATAGGAGCATACACTCCAAGGCAGGTGGTGTGTCTAGCTCCCTAACTCATGTATGCAGCCTGTCGACCCCTTCCCACCTGCTCCAGATTGGAGTCAGCAGACACAGCCCCCTCCTTCCTTAACCTCTCCCTGTACAGACCTGCCAGGCCCTGTGGGGAACCCACGGGGGTCGAAGGGCTAGACGAGAAGTTATTGCTTGAGTGATCCGGAGAGTAGATCTGCAATGGGGATGAAGAGAGAGAGGGCCACCAGGCAGCCAGTCAGAGGCTGGCCTCTCACAGGCACGGCCCAGCCACCCTTGCTCCCCCCAGCGTCCCCAGAACTGCCAGCTGTGGTCCCTCGGGAGCCTGTGGGTGCACAGAGGTGAGACCCAACCTCAGGGACTTGGTGCCCCAGTACCTGGGCTTAGCTTGGATGCCCCAACTGACAGGGAGTTCCCTTCTAAACTCAGCTGCTAGGCATGGATGGCATGGACCAAGCCCAGGACTGGGCAGCCCCTGATTCTGGTCTGGTTTCTGCCTGATGTCTCGTCACCTGCCTCCATGGAGGCTCTGGGGACAGGAAGACTGTGGGCCCTGGAGTTTTCTCAAATGTAATCTGAGCTACAGTTTTCCCAAATGTAAAGTGGGGGAATGCACTCCTCAAAGATCCATTTTCTTTGTGTGTGTGTGTGTGTGTGTGTGTGTGTGTGTAGTTTAAAATATAAGTATCATTAAAAACAGTAACAATAGCACAAAAGGCAGGAGGGGGAATTAAATGGGAAGTGTTTCAAGGTAACAAGCCATTTTCAAATATCAGAGATGGGACAATGGGGCTGAGGAGCCAGAGCTGATCCCAGGAGAGGGAGGGCGTTGTTAATAACAAGGGCCTCATGAGGGTGGAGTGAGGGGGTCATACCCATGAGACTTTCGGCCCCACTGACAGGAGGCGTGTGGCTGGCAACGCTGCCATAGGTGGCTGTGGGGGCTGAGAAAGTGGACACAGCTGGGAGCCCACCATTCACCTCCGCACTGTGCAGTTGGTAGCCCTGTGGTGGGATGAGGTCAGAGGGGATGAGATGGGGTCAGATAGGGTTCTATCCAAATGCACACCCCCGCCCCATATCCAGGAGCCTACCATGCGCTCGTGCTGGTGCAGGCCGCCAAACCCACCGCCACTACCACTGCCCACAGAACTGCCGCCACCTGGTGGGAGGGGCAGGGGAGATGAGCTCCCACCCAGCATGGGCCCGAAACCCGCCTGCCCTGGGGGGCTCCAGAGTTCGGCTGAGGGGTGCAGGCTGCCATCTGCAAAAAGGGGGAGATAGTAAAATGAGCTGACAGAGGGGCCTGGGTCCTGTCCCAGCCATCTTGGGTGAGCCCCCATATACCTGCCATGTAGAAGGGTGCGGGGTAGGTGCTGCTGGGGGTCTTGGCAGATGGGTAGGGGGTGGTATCCCTGCCGTAGTCATCACCTGAGCTGGGTGGGTACACCTGTGGGAAGGTAGGTGGACAAGGTCAGATAGAAGGGGTGGGACTAACTTACCCTCCACCCCTTGGCTGGCCCCTTCTCCAGTCCTGTCCTCCACCTGACAGCAGTCTATCTCACCACCCCATTTCTCTGAGCTGAACCTCCTGCACAGAATTCCTTTCCCCTCCTTAATCCAGCAAACTCCTTTGATCAAAGCCCAGCTGTGGTGCCACCCCCCCCCCCCCCGCCCAGTGCTAGATCCTCCCTTGGCCTCAGCCCTAAACATGCAAGACCCAGAAGCCTCAGAGACAGGGTCCTGGACTAACATTCCACCCAGGGTAACCAGGGCAGAGAGATAGCAAAGATCTTCTAGGATCAGTGCCAACTCTGGTCCCTGGGCACTGCCTAAAACTAAGGCAGGGCCCAGGAGAAAGTGCTGGGATCAACAGGGAATGCCTGCCTCAACACTGGAGTTTAGAAAAAGGGGTACAGAGTACTGGCAGGATAAGGTGGGCCCCAGGGAGCTCTCAGCTCCAGAAAATTGGAGTGGGGATTTAAGTGAGGAAAATGGGGAGTCAATGACATTATAAATGATACCAGGAGTCAAGTCTTATGACTGAGCCTGACTGTGCCTCCTGGCTGTCGAATGTCAACTAACACCCAAGCCTCTGGCCTAGGTCAGTTTGTGGGGGCTCTGCCTGACTCCTGGGCCTAAGGGCTCCTGAAGGCTGGTGCAGAGCCAAACTGAGGAAACAGACAAATTGCTTTTTCTTCCCATGATTAAATCTCGAATGGCCCAGCACCATCTGTTGAGCCTGGCACCCTGCCAACCTCCAGGCAATGAGATGGGGATATAGGGTGGCTCAAACCTGGGCGGACAGGGCGGAGGAGGAGACCTCCTAACTGGCTGTCAGGTGCTCCCACCTGCTCCCACTCCCAGGACCCCAGCCATACCCTTTCTAAGACATCACAGGACATGATTTCTTAAAGAGGATCAAGACTAAACCTCAGGAAGATCCCAAACGCCTGGGAAGTAGTCTCTGGTCAGAGCTGAGTCCTTGGGGGCAAGAGCCCAGCTGACTGACCAGTCTAGCTGAAGGTTTTGCCCCAGAACCCACATGCCTACACTCAGGAGGCCATGTGGGTCTACATGTTCCTGGCTGCAGCAGCATGCACAGCCCAGTGCCCCCAGTGACACATTGTGTGGCCTCCAGCAGGGACAGCCCCCAAACCTGGAGGGCAGGAGAGGCATGTGGTCTGTGGGATCTTCACTCCATCTCACAACTCACCGAGGATGGAAGACCTGGCGGCACCTTCCGGACTTTCTTGGGCTGCGTATCTGTTAGGAGTAAAAGAAGTGAGCCACCCCCATTCAGCCTGGCTCCTGCCCCCCCCAGCCAGAGTCCGTCAAGGCCCAGGGACACGTGCGCCTATCAATGGGAGTGTAAGTAGACAGCCTACCCCTGCACCTTGGAGAGGAGACCCTTGAGCTTCCCATGTTTTGTTTTTGTTGTTAATCCTCACCTGAGGATATTTTTCCATTGAC